AATTGCTCTGATTTGGAACCATTGATTGCACCTTGGTTACTCAGTACCAGAGCTGGGTCCCTAGTGCCTGCCAACTGCTGTGAAGCCCTGCTGAGCTGACCGGCCCTGTGGGCGGCCGGATTGAGCCTGCCGCCGGGCTGGTTCTGAAGTAGCTCTCCTCCGTCCTGCTGTCTTAGGTACCGGTATGGCCAGCTAATTGAAATAAACAGCCATAGCCTCTTCTCTAAGTGGTTTTCAGAAGTGAGTACTGACCGTCCTCTTTGTCTGGCTGTCTGTCCCACATGGTTGAGAAGCACAGTACTCCAGGACAGTGGGGAGCAGGGCACTGCCTGGTTGGAACAGGGCTGGGCAATAGGCCTGGCCACCCCCTGCCTGGTTGGAAGGTTGCGGGAATGCTTAGCATCTCCTGGGGACTGTGCCCCCTGCTGAGCAGCCCAGAGGGTGACCCTTAACTTTGAAGGGCCATGTCCAGGGCCCCTGGTCAGTGTGGCTGGTGCAGAGTATACCCTGGCCAGTGTGCATGCCAGCACCAAGGGCCTGTGCCCTGACTCATGGAGCAATGGAACAGTGGGGGGGGGCTGGGCCCCTCCTACATAGGGGGTCTTTGGGGGGCACCATCAGGAGGCTGGGCTCTTGGGCTACTGGGGTGGGTGGTGCCGTGAGCACCTGTGGCTCGGGAGCTACAGGCGGTCCTCAGGGAGGTTGTGGTTGCAGAGTGGCAAGCTGGTGACCAGGATGTTCCAGAAGATCCAGGACCTGATTGATGACAAGGAGGCGCTGGTGTTCGTGCTGATTGACGAGGTAAGCTCTCGCAAGCAGCTGCCTCTCACTGTTGCTGGCACAAGGCCTGCCCCCCCTGCTGGGCTGCCACCTCAGCCTGCCACCCGGGCCCGTGGTGCTGCAGGACTTCTCCCCAGCACACCCAGCCCTGGGCAGCCACCGCAGGCCTCTTCAGTCTCCACCCACTGTCTCAGTGTCCCTTGGCTGCCAAGAGATGCTAGGTGCCACCCTCCCAGCTGTCACTCTGTCCCTGCAGGTGGAGAGTCTCACAGCAGCACGCAGTGCCTGCAGGGCTGGTGCCGAGCCCTCGGATGCTATCCGCGTGGTCAACGCCCTCTTGACCCAGATCGATCAGATCAAAAGGTGATGCTGGGCCAGGCTGCACCATGAGCAGCCAGGGTGAAGTGAC